TCACTCTTCCATGATATATTCTTTTTAAAAAAATTTTGAGGTATAGTTGATTTACAATGTTGTGTTTCAGTTATCCAACACAGTGATTCAGTTTTACATATATATGTAAATATAGATAGACACACACACACATAATTGTTTTTCAAATTCCTTTCCCTTACAGGTTATTACAAAATACTAAGTATGGTTCTCTGTGTCATATGTAGGTTGTTGTTGGTTATCTGTTTTGTATATAGTAGCATGTTTGCCCTTGATAATATTCTTCGGTTCAGTCGCTCAGTTGTGTCTGACTCTTTGCAACCCCATGGACTGCAGCATGCCAAGCTTCCCTGTCCATCACTGGAGCTGGCTCAGACTTAATATCCATCGAGTTGGTGATGCCATCCAACCATCTCATCCTCTGTCATCCCCTTCTGCTTTAGATCTTTCCCAGCATCAGAGTCTTTTCTAATGATCAGTTCTTGGCATCAGGTGGCCAAAGTATTGGAGCTTCAGCTTTAGCATCAGTCCTTCCAATAAATATTCAGGACTGATTTCCTTTAGGATTGACTGGTTTGATCTCCTTGCAGTCCAAGGGACTCTCAAGAGTCTTCTCCAGCGCCACAGCTCGAATGCATCACTTCTTCCACGCTCAGCTTTCTTTATGGTCCAACTCTCACATTTGTCCATGAGTACAGGAAAAAACCATAGCTTTGACTAGATGGACCTTTGTTGGCAAAGTAATGTCTCTGCTTTTTAATATTCTATCTAGGTTGGTCATAGCTTTTCTTCCAGAGAGCACACGTCTTTTAATTTCATGACTGCAGTCACCATCTGCAGTGATTTTGGAGCCCAAGAAAATGAAGTCTGTCATTGTCTTCATTGTTTCCCCATCAATTTGCCATGAAGTGAGGGACCAGATGCCATGATCTCAGTTTTTTGAATGTTGTGTTTTAAGCCAGCTTTTCCACTCTCCTCTTTCACTATCATCAAGCGGTTCTTAGTTGCTCTTCACTTTCTGCTGTCATCTGCATGCCTGAGGTTATTGATATTTCTCCCAGCAATCTTGATTCAATGAGGAAGAAAAGGAACCTTCTGAAGCCAGTAAGGTATAACTATTAGAAAAAAATAGAGAAAACATGTTATATAGGGAAGCATTAGAAACACTCCCTTTAAAATCAGAGACAGAGATGCTTGATACGGTGTGTATTCAATATTGTATTGACAGTCCTAAGCAGTAATGTAAGACAAGTAGAAGAAATTAGAGGCACAAGAATTGGGAAAGAGGAATGAAATTTTTATCTGCAGGTGATATGGTCATTTACATAGAATACAGAAGGATTATAGACAAAATTATGAGTTTAGCAAGGTGACTGTTTAGCAAGTTTATTGAAAGTCATTTGTATTTCTGTACATATGCAAAACCCACTAAAAAACAGTGAGAAGGCATCACAGTAGTATCAGAATACCAACTTAAGAAATCAGTCTAAGACAAATATGCTAGACCTCTAAAGGGAAAGTTGAAGACTTAATAAGAGATATTAAATAAAACCTTAATAAATAGAGGAATATGTCATATTAATGATTGGAAAACAATTTGAGCAGGGATTTTCATGGAGCTTGATGATGCTAAATTTTGTATGGAAGAGTTAAGGGCCAAGAATAGCTTGTCACTTCTAAAAAGGAATGGCAGGGGACTTGCCCTATAGGATAACAAGATTCATGATAAGATGTAAGGATTAGATGTGGAGCTGTATAGACAGAAAAATCATCTAGTAGACTAGAATAGAGAACTTGTGAACACCAGTATGTGTTGCTACATAACAAAGGTGGCTGTCAGTCAAGAAAGTATTCAGCTGATAGAACAGGAAAAAAAAAATGGCCATCCATATATTGGGGAAAATGAGACCTTGAAGAGGCAGAGACCATTGACTGAAAAAGAGAAGATTGATAAATATAAATTTGAGTTCATTAAAATTAAGTTTTTGCCCATAAAAGTTTTTTCCACCTAGAAAATGGAAAGGAAGTTACAATTGGGAGAAGATATTTGCAGGACATTATATTGACAAAGGGTTAATATTAAAAATATACAAAGAACTATTGCAAATTGACAAAAAATCGGTTAGAAAAGTGTGTAAAACACAACATTTCACAAAAGAGGAAATATACATGGCTGATAAATATGTGGAGATAACATCATTAGTGATCAGGTAACTAACTATAAACCAAACACATACCTATTTGGGAGAATTCCTGTAATTACATATAATGTACTTCTTTTTTTGTAAGTTGAAAGCAACCAAACTAAAAATATGTATTTTTTAGGATTCCATTTTGATGCAGTGAAGTGCTTAAAAAGGAAGGGGAAGAAATCGAAATAGGATTCAGGATGAGTGTTGGGAGGAGGCAGGGGATGGTAGGAGAGAATCTTACGGTTAAGTGTAGATTGTTGTCAGAATCATAGTTTGTGGATGTTTATTGCATTATTTAAAAAATCAGGTAAAAGTGGGCAGGGCCTTTCTGTGTGGTCTCCAGTAGGATAGCCAGTGGAGAGATGTGGTTCATTGGGGGCCATATTTGGAAACCATTCAAACTGTTATTAATATTTGTATTCACTATGTTGCTCTACTGTGTATATAATTGACAGTTTAGGCACTGGGGATGTATTAGTGAACAAATAAACATACATTCCTTCCCACTTATAGCTTATGTCTTACATGATAAAAATTAAACTATGTAATAGGTTGATAACAACGACAGTGAAGAAGCGAGGAATAAATCAGGGAAGGAGATAGGGAATACTGGGAGGTTGGGAGTTGCAGTTTCAAAAATGTATTGTCTTTGGAAGGCCTCACTGATAAACTGACATTTAAGCAGAGACAAAAGGAAGAGGTTTAGGAGCCAGAGGGGCAAGGGTGGAGCAAGAAAACCTTTAGGAACTAAGGCAGTTCAGAGCTGGAAAGTTTGGTTAGTATAGTAATAATGGAAGTAGTGACACGTGATTTTATCTTGAAGATAGAGCTTCCGAATTGTGAAGGGTGAGAGAAAAAAGGAATCACGGATATCTTCCAGCTCCCTGACCTGCGCAAGCACGGCCGTTGGAGACTTGGACTGGTAGGTTCAGGGAGATGAGGGTTTTTTTAAGAATAGGTTTGCAATGCCACTTAAAAACTAGCTGCCTCAGGGCTTCCCTGGTAGTCCATTGGTCATGAGCCTGCTTACAGTGCAGGGACACTGGTTTGATGCCCTGGTCCAGGAAGATCCCACATGTTCTAGGACAGCTAAGACCATGGTGCCACAACTGCTGAGCCCACACCCCGCAGCTGCTGAAACCTGTGTGCCCTGGAGCCTGCTCTGCAGCAAGAGCAGCCCTCACACTGCAACTGGAGAGGAAGCCCCGGTCCCTTCAACTAGAAAACCCTCAAGCAGCAGTGGAGACCCAGCGTAGCCATAAATTCATTAAGGAAAGAAAAGCTAACTGCTTTAAAATGACAAGTTACATACCCTGTTTGACTTCCATTTTATACCAAGGGAAGCTGATAGAAAGAGGGTTGAATTTAATTAATTTAGGATAGCACTAAAAAAATACTTAGTTTTGACCACATTGGATCTTAGTTGTAGGATCTTATAATACGTCGTGGGCTCTTTGTTGTGATGCGCAGGCTTGTGGTGGCTGGGCTCCAGAGCCCCACAGCGTGAGGGATCTTAGTTCCCTGACCCGGGATCAAACCCGTGTCCCCTGTGTTGGAAGGCAGGTTCTTAACCTGTGGACCACCAGGGAAGTCCTGAGGGTTGAATTTATACTTTGTTGTCTTTAATAAGTCTTCTCAGAAGAGTGAGGAGTCTTGTTACCTGCAAATCAGACTCTGTTGATTTTATTTTATTTATAAATTTCACTGACTTTTATCAGCTTCTTACTAGAAAAAGTTCTGAGGGTAAATGCAAGTTTATTTAAAAATCTTTTCTTTCTCTGTAGTTTTTTTTAATAGAAATCTGTTTAATTTTGACTGTGGTGGGTCTTCGTTCCTTCAAGCAGGCTTTCTCTAGTGTGGCAGGTGGGCGCTCCGCTTTGTCGCAGTGTGTGGTGGCCTCTTTCGTGAAGCATGGGCTCTAGACGTGCAGGCTTTAAGTGGTCGCAGTGCGTGGGCTCCAAAGTTGTAGCGCATGGGCTTAGTTGCTCTGTGGCAGGTGGGATCTTCCTTGACCAGAAATTGAACCAGTGTTGCCTATATCACAAGGTGGATTCTTAACCACTGGACCATCAGGGAAACCCATATAGGGCTTTTGTTTTGTTTTGTTTTAAAGGACAAGAGATAAAAGGTGAAAAATAATTAAACCTTACTTACTCTTTATTTCAATTCATGTGTCTCTCCTTTGATGTTGTATGTCCACCTTGGTTTAACCCATTTTATAGGTATTTAGTTGCTATATGCTCTTTGGGCTTGGCACATCTTAAAAGCTGTTTTAACTGATACTGAATATTTTGTCTCTCACTTTGCTGTGGTCTCTTGCCAAGACATGTTTCAACATGTTGCAGAGGTTTTCCTAGGCATGCTCTTGAAATCTTAAACCTGTTACTTAATCTTGGTAATTCCCTCAGCCCTGCATCTGTCTCCTAGGGGGTGTGTCCAACAGAGGAGGAGATACTAGAGAATTATGTGATCTACAGGGGAGGTATTGATTGTAAGTTTCACTTTCAGCTAAAACTGTACTCATCGTCATCAGTGTAGAGGTTGGAACATGCCTGAACCGATTTCTCTTGTAGACTTCACTTGAGGGAAGTATAGATGGTTTTTACTCTTAATTACGCTCTTCCATTTTTTTTCAGAGTCAACTAGAAAGTGATCAGAAGAACTGCAGCACTTGCGTAGGGTGCTCTGATATATGTGTCTTTTTTTACTTCTACTTGCTGTGTTTTTTTTGTATATTCTAAAGAGAATTTTCTACTTTAGAGGATACTTTATAATTTTTTTTCCCCCGCTTACACTTAACAGCCGACTTCACATCACTTCACTGCCAAAATGACATCATTTTCCACCTCTGCCCAGCGTTCAGCATCTGACAGTGCTTGCAGGATCTCTCCAGAACAAACCAATCAGGTAAATTATTTTTAGGCATTCCTGTTTTTCTTCAAGTTTTTGAATAGATTGGGGCATGTTGCTGACTTCATTGACTAGGATTTTATGTAGAGCAGAAAAGATTACTTTTTAAATGTCATAAATAGCATCAGTGCTCATAAATTTGAATTGATCATTGGTTAAATAAATAAAGGTTTCAGATTGTTCAAAATGGCACATTTTAAACACCACCCTGTTTTAGGATATGACTGGCTAGTGGAGAATTTGGGGCCAAGTTATATATTTGTCTTCTTTCTCACTTCATTGTAGCTAGTTTGTTTTATTTAAAAGTCACTTTTAAATTGTAAATATAGCAAGTGTATTCTTATTAAAAAATTCAAACTTTTATCACATATTCATCTATAGAGATTCCTGTGATCATCTCCTCCCTTCTTCCCTCAAAGTTCTCTCCCCCTAAGATAACACTATTATCAATTTGGTGTGTCTTGTTCCAGATCTTTTCCTTTAACATGAAAATACATAATTTTGTTTATGATTTTATATGTATTGCACCATATATAAGTACTATGTATAAGTTTATGATAAAGCTGGAATTTGGATTTGATAAGGGAAAATGTGGCTTATGTAATAAAGGGCTTTTTCTTAATTGGCCATCTCTAGATGGAAACAGGGGAAGACCTCAAACCTTAAACAAAAATAAATTCCAGAGAGATAGATTTCAATGTAAAAAGTGAAATGATAAAAAATATTAGAAGGAAATTTAGGAGATGTTGTAAAACTTTAGAATAAGAGCAACTTTAAGACAAAACCAAAGAGGCTGTAAGAGGAAGAGAGAAACAAATTCAGTCATATAAAGTGAAAAAAGTTAAATTATTTGACTAAAGACATACTCCACAATCAAACTCAGGAGATGGCAAAGTCACTGTTCCTTATATGTATATACCACACCTTATTTATCCATTCATCTATCAGTGGTATTTAGGTTGTTTCCATATTTTGGCTATTATGAATAATGCTTCTATGAACAGTGGCATACAGATATTTATTTGAGTCCCTGCTTTCAGTTCTTTTGGATATACACCTAGAAGTGGAACTGCTGGGTCATACGGTAATTCTATGTTTAACTTTTTGAGTAACTGCCAAACTGTTTCACAGTTGCTGCACCATTTTACATTCCCATTAGCAGTGCATAAGGGTTCCAGTTTCTTTATATCCTCTCCAACACTTTTGTTATAGCCATCCTAGTGGGTACGAACATTCTGTCTTTTGAAAATGTGATTTTTCAGAAAATTAGCAAGTAATAGTCTGATCATCTGTAGTTACTAGATGCTAAATTAGTCTGCCAGGGTTTGTTAAAAAAAAAAAAGTTTAAGGTTTGATTTTCCCTTGGATTTCAGAGACCACTCTGATTGAAATGTAAATAGCAAGTTTATTTTATGTTTATATCAGGTACGACCAAAACTGCCTCTTTTGAAGATTTTGCAAGCAGCAGGTGCACAAGGTGAAATGTTCACTGTTAAAGAGGTAAGCTGGGACTTCCCTAGTGGTCCAGTGGTTAAGACTTTGGCTTCCAGTGCAGAGGGTGTGGTCAGATACTCTTCTGAGGACTGAGTTATGTTAAATACTTATGCATTTAAATAACTTAGTTTCTAATTTTTTTTTTTAAACAAAAATTTTTTAAGTGGAAAAAACTCTATTGAAACATTAGTCTCTCTGAACTGCTTGGATTTAGTAGAGGAAATATCTAACCCTTCTTAAACAGAGAGAAGGAACAAAATTATCAAGCTTTTTTTGACTTTTCATAAAAGCTTATCAGGATTTTCCAGTGGTACAGTGGTAAAGAATCTGCCTGCTAATGCAGGAGACACAAGAGATGTGGGTTCAATCCCTGGGTTGGGAAGATCCCCTGGAGGAGAAAATAACAACCCACTCCAGAATTCTTGTCTGGAAAATTCTATGGACAGAGGAGCCTGGCAGGCTACAGTCGACGGAGTTGCAAAGAATTGGACACAACTGAGTACACACACACAACAGCTAGCACCTATTAGCAATGCTGTATTCCTGAGTCATTCTACCTCTTTAGGAAACAAATCTGGAGGCATTTCAGATTTTCTAGAATACTCATAGTTCCATTATCATTTTAAATTAAATGTATCATTTTGGACTTTATATTTAAAATACTGATAAAACTTTTTTCCAAACTCTTATTAAAATGTGGATTTTTATATCAATAAAGTTGTTATAATGCATTATGCAGTCTCCTTCAGTAGCATGGCAGAGTTTGCCTGAGTTAAGACAGAATTAAGTATATATTGTTTGAGGAAACTGTTTTATGGGGGAAAAGTTGGGCAGTCAGTTTATACAGTAAGCTCTTTATTATGAATCTTGACACTATTTAGTACATAAAGAGGAATTTTCTCATTTTTATTTTTAAATACTGGTTATCATATGTGCATTGAGGCAGTATAGTATAATGAGAATGGTAGTATGTACAGATTCAGAGTAGTGTTTTTAAGGATCTTATTTTGTATACTTAGAGTGGATTTATTTTTTTCTGCAAGTTGGATAGACATAAATGTAAAACTTCCTTTTCCTTACAGTAGACATTCTTTCTCATCTTACTTTTCTCTAGATATTCGATTAGATATGAGAGCTCTGTTAATACTGGGATGCGTTGCCTGGGATGGAAGAGAGCCTGAGAGCATCGTTACTCCAGTAAAATAGAAACAGTATAGGGAAAAGTTTTGTGCAAATATCTAATAATTCTTGGGAAGTCAGGGACTAAAGATAAAAATGGCTGCTTTGATCTGTTTTGTGGTCTGTGATAAAATTCTTACTATCATCAAGTGAACTTAACTATTAAGCAATTTTAAGAAAAGGACTTTATGGGTGGCACAGTGGTAAAGAATCTGCCTGCCATCGCAGAAGGTGCAAGAGATGCTGGTTCAATCCCTCGGTTGGGAAGATCCCCTGGAGTAGGAAATGACAACCCACTCCAGTATTCTTGCCTGGAGAATTCTATGGACAGAGGGACCTAGTAGGCTGTAGTCCATGGGATCTCAAAGAGTCAGACACAACTGAGGACACGCTCACACACACACTACCCACACACAGTTTTTTTAAAAATCTGCTACCTGGAGGAAACATTTGGAAAATTAGATAATTAAAAATTTTTGAATCACTAACTTCTGTGTCTTCCCTTCCATCTCGTTAAGTCTGTGAAAAGGTCAGATAGACTAAATTTTTCTTTGATAAACACTGAAATTGTTTTATGCACTTATAGTGCTGATGTCTTATTAACCATTGTACTTCAATTTGCCAGAAAGATTTAACTGAACACACATCAAAGTCTATGGTAGTTGTGTGCTCTAGAGTTGGAAAACATTTTTATGATCCAGGCAGATTTAAAGTTTATTACTTCTAGTAATAGAACAGATCCCTTTATTTGGACTGGTGAGAACATTTTTAAGGGGATACCTGGTAAATTCACTGCTTTTCCTCATTATCAGACTGGTATATTTCTGTTCTAAAACGTAAATGTCTCTTAGTGTCCAGAATAATAGTAAGTAGATGAACTTAGTAATTGGGAGCAACTATCCTGTTGTAGGACCCCTTACACAATACTGATAGTAATATTCATAATATGTTATCTCTTTCTCTAGCAAACAAACTTATCTCCTCATTTAATTTGTATTTTGGACCGCAACTAGACAAATCTCTTCATGGTATTTTATTCCCATGTAGGTTATGCATTATCTAGGCCAGTATATAATGGTGAAGCAGCTTTATGATCAGCAGGAGCAGCATATGGTATATTGTGGTGGAGATCTTTTGGGAGAACTACTGGGTCGTCAGAGCTTCTCTGTGAAAGATCCAAGGTAAAAACTGAGGGTTTGTTTATCTTTTGGGGTGCTTACACCTAACCACTTAATCCCCATGGTTATTAATATTTATTTAATCCTTTAGTCCACAAGTTATTTGTTGGGCCTGCATATATCAGGTGACTGTGAGGTACTGGAAACATAATAGTGAGCAACAGTGTCTATAATTTTATGGAGTTTAATGAGTAGTGAGACAGTAAACACTGTTCCTCATCTTAATTGAATTGTCACGTCAATACATAGTAAAATTATATATGGTAAGTGTTACATAAAAGAGGTACATGAGACTATTGGGGATGGGATTCAGGGTCTTGGGTTGAAAGGTTCCTTGAGGAAGTGATATTTGAGTTGAGAGCTGGATGATTAAATATTCGGGGGAGCCTGTTGAAGGAGAGCTTCTGGCAGATTGAACATCGTATATAAAGGCTTAGGTAGGAGGGAGCTTGACTAGGTTAGATTTTGTGAAGCATTGTTATAGAGAGGAAGAATGAGCTGACGAGAAATGTAGAATTGCTGGGCAGTTTAAGGTTAGTGATGGGCTTCATAAGAATCACACTAGAGCCATTCTGACCTGTTGCGTGGCATTTTCCAGCTGCATGGGTTACTTGGTTATTCACTTAGACAATCAGGAGCTAATTCGTAGTTGAGAAGTCAGTGTTCTCTTTCTCTCTCTATAGCTTTGTGATCAGTTTTTCTAAGACTCCCTTCCAATAAAATGTAAAACAACCTTTAGAAGGAAGGAGTAGTCTTAAAGGAAATCTCCCCACCTGGGTTACTGTTAGCTTATGAAATAAAATGTAAAAATTTTTTATGAGGGCAGAGTAATACAAGGGCTTGGGTACTAACATGCTGATAACTTATTAGTTTAAAAAAATGTATTCTGGGGGAAAAATTCTGCCTCTTCATATGTTATAGAGAATGTTGGGACATAGCATATGAAAAATATATTTAACATTAATGGAAAACCATGTGATTATTAATTTTTTATTTTATCTCTTTTACAGCCCTCTCTATGATATGCTAAGAAAGAATCTTGTCACACTAGCTACTGCTACTACAGGTACGTCACATCATATTTCTTCAGTCCTTATCACAGTTTTAACTTTAAGGGGGCAAATCATGGGTAAACAGGGAGGATTTAGATGGAAATTGAATGCTGTCTTTCCATGACTTGGGGGGGGGATGGCTGTCACACAAAATGTTGCTACTACTTATTTGACTTTTCATTGTAAACATTTTCAAATATACTAAAAATAGAGATTAGCATAAGTAAAGCCCACCTCTTAGACTTAGTAATTGTTAATGTTCTGCCATATTTGCTTCATCTACATGGGCTTTAAAAGAATTAATAGTAATAAACAAAATAGTAACTCCATAACATTACCCAGCAGCCAGTTCATGTATGTTAACTCCAGTTATTTCAGAAATATCTTTTACATTTGGCTTATTCAAATCAGTATCCAAACAAAGTCCACAGTTTGCTTTTGGTTGATATGTCTTGCTAAGTATTTTTAATCTATAAAACTTAACCCTCTTTTCATTATATTATTTATTTGTTGAAGAAATGGATCATTTCATTTGTGTTATAAATTTCCCACATGCTAATTTTCAGATTGTGTCCTTGTGATATTGTTTAACATGTTTCTCTGTCTCTTCTATTTCTGGTGAACAAATAGTGTTTGGATAGATTCAAGGTTAAATTTTTTGCCAAGATTTCATAGGTAGTGCTTCATATATCTATTGCATCACATCAGAGCCATGTAAGGTCTATGTATCCCTTTTTCAGTGGTGTTAATATTTTGTGGGCTTTATGTGGTGTTACCCTGACCCATCTGTTATAAAGGCCCCCCTCCCCTGCCCCCGAAGAACCTTTTTTCCTAAAGGTTTTAGTTTTCTGTTAATTTGAATGTCAATTCGCCTGACCTTTTGCTTGATTCCACATATTTTAAATACTTCCCTTTGAGTTTAATTTATTAGTATTGTTCAGGAAACTGGCTGTTTTGGGGTCTGAAGTATGGTGTGTTAGAGATAAGTGAATAAACTGTATAGAGCTCAAATATAACCCTCTCACTCATTTCCAAATGATGAAACTTTTTTCTTTCTCCATTCCTACATGAAGCACTTTTGTGAGTTTCAGATTCGATTTTAGGTGACACTGTTGTTTGAAGAAAACCCAAGTTGGTAATAATCCCTTTAGATTGGCTATTTTTCAATAGTTTACTGAAACAAACAGGTTGAAAAAAAATCCATTCCTAATTAAGATTTACTCTTTACAGTGAGAGCGAAGAGACTCTGCTCTCATACTGAAATGTAAGTTTGAACTTACATTGAATTTTGAAGCCTGTTGGTTTCACTGAGCCACTCACCCATTTATAAAGCTGTTTTAGAGGGAAGGCCTTGCAAATGATATGACACTTTTTTGAAATTCAGGCACTTGTGAAATAGTATGGTTTTCCTGGGATAGTCATTATTGTCTTGAAATACACAAGTAATTGTATGTTTACTGATCTATTCTTTCAGTAAAATTTGCTTTCTAACTGTCTGTTCTCTGAATATCTAGAGTGAGCATAATTCTTACTTTTCTCTTATTTTCTTTCTTGTACTTCCTCATCAGAATTTAACATGATGTTTATTAAATGAACTCTCCTCTAACAGACATTTCAGTTTATCCTCACAACCCTATGAGGAAGGTCTGGAGATGAAGATACTGAGGATTTTTGAGTTTTGTTTTTGCTTTTTAAATAAAAGGAGTAATTTGCCTAAGATGAGATGCCACTGATAGGAGAGCAGATATTTGTGACTCCTGCCCTTGCTCTTTCCTTTATGCCACACATCGATGTCTGTTTAATCCCTGCTTTTAAAAAATTTGCCCCAATTAATTTTTTAACACATTTTTAAAAATCTGAACATTAAATCTCTAAAACATTCTTTGTTCTTTAATTTATCACTTTTAAATAATTTCACTTACAAAAATGTTACAAAGATATTAAAAAGAGTTCCCAGATTCCCCAATGGTACTAACTTATATAACTGCAGTACAGTGATCAAAACCAGGAAATTGCCCCAAAGTAATTCTGACTGGTTGTCTGTTCTGAACTTGAGCTTGCTTTAGTGCTTATGGTTGGCCATCTCTGTTGCTCTTCGTAAGTTGGATTGCATGTTTTTTATTTGAAAGGACAAATGAGAAAACTGCTTTCCCTATCAATTACTTTATACCTTTGCAAATAAAGTAAACCTTTTATTTTGATGGTTGAAGAAATGAAGGTTGTTCTTTATAAATCATTTCTCCAAATTTCCACATGTATTTGAATAAAATAAAATTTATATGACAAATTTTGTATTGAAATTTCCTTGTACATTGTAGTTTTCACTGGTAATTTATTTTTGCTTCTAATTTTTTAACCTAAGTAAGGTAGTATTTAGAATTAGAAATGACAGTAATCAAATTACTTTATTAAAAAAAAATGCTTCACTGCATTGTGTGTTAATTGATCTTTAAAAACTGCTGTGCTCAGAAAATGCTGGCTCTTAAAAACTTCTAGTATCTTCATTTTATCTATAAAAATGCTTCTAGAAATAATGCTCTTTATAATTACAATTTTGAAAATATTTGCTCTGTGCCAGACAACTGATCTGTCAGACCAGTTGTAGGATCTGTATCCTTTCTCTGGAAGTCTTTATTGGATGAGGAATGACATTTTCTATTAAGTGTCTTATTTCTGGACGTAATAGTAGCTGATGAACCCAATCTATGATGGACTTATTTGAGTGCATGTAGTTACGTATAGCCTTATGTAATGAGTGGTCCAAGGTTATTAAGTTTTCTGCATCTTTTCCTGTAGCTAAATTTTCATCTTCTCTTCTGCTTGAAAAATTTGCAAGGCCTTGAAATACATTTTTCTCTGATTATCTAAGAAGTTCTCTCAGGTTATTCTTTCCTTCACTCCTTTTTGTTGGCCTTGAGAGGAACTTTATCTTCTTCCTCTTCCTTAGGAAATGTTTACAGGAACTGGGAAAAATAAGTCTTACTCATTAAAAAAAGTATATACCTGGTGATAATAGTTTAAACCGTGAAATATCATTTACACTTAGAATGTAACTTTACATTAGGGAACTATTGTGTCATAAAGCAAACCTAGATTTTTTAGATTTCATAATTCTATATAGCTTTAACACTTGAAAATAAAAATTTAAAAGTCAAAAATTTTTTTATTGTTTAAAAAAGGCAAATTTGGTATCACGCCTATAGGAATTGATAAAATACTCTCCATTATTCCATGCTTGGAATCACTGTCATATTAAATTTGAAAGCATCACATGGAGGAACATTTTTTATTCATTTTTCATTTTTCTTCAGATTATATTTTGGTAATATATTTTGAATAGAGCCTCTTTTGGTCTATGCCATTTTTATTAGTTTTAATTTTTTTACTTTCCTTTTGGATGAGAGCCTTGGCCAGTCAAAATTAGGGATCAAGCCTGGCTTCAGGGTTGTTTGCTGAGGTCCTTTTGGTGTGGAAAGAACGGCTATTACCAGGGAAGGTTTTCCTTTTGTTTTACTTGCTATCCAGATGCTGCTCAGACTCTCGCTATCGCACAGGAGCACAGTATGGATATTCCAAGTCAAGACCAACTGAAGGTAAAATCACCACACGGTGACTTCTTTTGTTGTACAGAGTGGCCCCTTCTCTGTACCTATGATCTTGGACTCCCAAGACCTTTCCTGAATGTGGTAAGAATTTAATAAGAAAGGTTCTTGGGAGTTCAAAGACTAGGGACAGAGCGAACCTTCTCTGTTCTGCCCATAACAGAGTTCCAGTCTCTGAATCTTTCTTTGGGATGTAGCACTTCCGATCTTTAGTTCTTCCAGTTGCATTTTCTTGGGGCTTGTGTGTGATGGTGTATGTATATAGGTGTTTGAGGAAATTGCTTTATTAGATTTTAACAGACTTGTTGCAAATAAGTTCATGTCAGGCCATTTCTTAAAGCTTCCCTAAACCTGCAAAAACTTTATGATCATCTTGGTATATGTTTTCTGCATTATGCCTAATTTTGTGTAGGCTAGAGGCTTTATATTGATAGCCTGTTTTTAACAGTAGATTTTGACCTTTTGTGCAGATTTTTTTCCCACAGTGGGTTGAGGAGAGGTTGCCTGTATTTGATGACTGTTATATGAACTCCAGAGTTTCCTTTTCTGGTGCGTAACCCATTGTGTCGCACACTAACTGGTGAGCTGGAATGGAACTGCTACATCCCCTGGTCACAGTCGTTTCTGCTGCACTGATGGATGCGTTTCCCTTCCTTTCAGCAAAGTGTAGAGGAAAGCCCCAGTTCCAGGAAGAGAACTGAAGAAGGCAATATTCCCACACTGCCTACCTCACAGTATAAGTGCAGAAATTCTAGAGCAGGTAAGTTTTGGTTTAGAACTATGTAGACTTTTCTTTCTCTTTCTTCTTTTTTTGGTGTTGACTTTTAGAAATGGCATCTATCTGTATTAAGCACTAGCAGTAATTAAGACCATTATATCGAGAACTCAAAAAAATAATAATGCTGTTTCTTATGTGATGTAGCAGAGGTGTATGTCATACTTATTTTCACTCTTTTCTGAAAACCTTTTCTTTATCCTACTTACCACTGTTAACTTTGAAGAAGATGGTAGTTCTCTTTTAGCAATACATGGTGACTAGGATGGAGCAAGACCATCTTTAGCTAGCATGCTAATAGAAGATAGCCATACATTTATCAATTTGCCACCTGGTAACTCAGCTGCCTTGGCATTTTAAATCTTGGCTCCCCTGTATATATTTGATCTGGTTAGAATTTTTATTTGTCTGCTTGAGGCAGAGGCTAATTTTCATATATTTTTGAAGTTTGCAAAGATGGTAAAATGGACCTAATGTCTCAGAGCCAAGAATGAGACATAAGAGACCTAGTAGTTCCTTTACCCTTGAATGGTCGTCATTAGATCTTTCCCATTCATGTTAGATAGAGTACAGTCAGGTTAAGTGAGTTGATTAACATTTTGGAAGTTTTCCCCAGACCCTGCTTTATAGAGTATTTCCTAAACTTTTTCCTGCAAAGATAATGTAAAGTCATAAATTTCTTAAAGATATTTTATGGCATGATGGTTTCTAGTGTAGGTACCTGACTCACATTTGCAGAAGTGGCAGGTTAGACCTCTGGCAACATCCCAGAAAATCATGATGTTGCAGTTGTTGTAAATGATGAAATTTAATCTGTTTATTATACTGGGTTGTTTTCTTCAAATTGCTTTGAATATAAGCTGAATTTTGGGCTATCTAGTTAGCTGGGAGCTTATTTCAGTCTGTATGGTACTAAGTGTGTAATTTTGTTTCTTTAAATACAAGCCTTTGCTTATTTTCTATTCAAAGGCTGTTTAATATATAACAACAGTCGAGATGAGAAACTGTAGTTCATGATTAAATTTTGAGAATTAATAGTTTAGTATTCTCAGGGATGTGTATAGGTAGAAAGTACAGAATTTTTACATGTGGAAAGAATGGCCTTTTTTTCATTCCCTTCAGAAGAAGTTATAGAGCTTGAATAGTTGAAGATAACTTTAATGTGATACCATCTCAGAATTAGGTTTCTCATAATTTCAGCAGTGAGTAAATAAAAGGTAGTTGAAGTTTCCCTGAGCACAGGTATACCTTTTAATAGTCAGGAACAACATAATTTGTAAGTAGATACGGTAACTGTTCTGGCAGGGATCCATTTATTGCAGACATCTTTTCAACCATATGTACCTTAGCACATTTAAACACCTTTAGTTGCCATTGGCATGCCTAGTGTATTTTGAAGAGGTAGAAAAGAGTAAGAAAGTACAACAAGAAAGATTGGACAGTGGGAAAGAATGAAAAGAATTTCATGTGGTAGCAATAAACTTACATTAGTAACTCCCTTGAGTATCATTTAGATGTACAACACAAGATCTTTTATTTAGAACATGTGGACCCTTAATATGTCCTGGATTTGTAATATTTCTAGCTTTTAAATGTCTTAACTCCAAAAAAGCCTGTTGATCCAGAAAGGACATATATGTGTATTTATTTGGACAGCCTAGAGTTCAGTGTTTCATAGTGGTTGTTACCTATTGAAACATAGGAATTATTGAGAAACGTCTGAAAATATGTGATACCAGTGAGACTGCCTTGACAACCTTGTGATCGCTCAATATGGTCTGTACCACCTAGTTTCTATCTCAAGGGTTGGGCCACTATGCTATCACCATTTGCAGTCACGAATCAAGTCATCGTCCGGTATCATGTACTAGAGCAAGTCATTCCTTCGTTATTATAGTGGTTCAGTTCAGCTCAGTTCAGTCGCTCAGTCGTGTCCGACTCTTTGCGACCCCATGAATTGCAGCACACCAGGCCTCCCTGCCCCTCACCAACTTCCGGAGTTTACTCAAACTCATGTCCATCGAGTCGGTGATGCCATCCAGCCATCTCATCCTCTGTCATCCCCTTCTCCTCCTGCCCCCAATCCCTCCCAACATCAGGGTCTTTTCCAATGAGTCAACTCTTTGCAGGAGGTGGCTAAACTATTGGGAGTTTCAGCTTCAGCATCAGTCCTTCCAACGAACACCCAGGACTGATCTCCTCTAGGATGGACTGGTTGGATCTCCTTTCAGTCCAAGGAACTCTCAAGAGTCTTCTCCAATACCGCAGTTCAAAAGCATAAATTCTTCCTGGTAGGCATGTTTAAAATGCCACCAAGTGACCATTTAGAAATCCTTTTAGAACAATGTTATTGTTTGGATGCTTTCAGAGTTTGTGTTTCTTGATGAATGACCTCTAGTGTCATTACTTGATAATGAAATCTAAAAGCAGAGGAAGGAGATTTGGGCTTTGCAACTGATACAGGTATTTGATTTCTGATTCTTTCTTACTGGGAAGAGGATTTTCTTTTTACTTGCCTTATACAAGAAATTTTAAGTATTATGAAGAGAGTCTTCTTGATTCTTAAGTGTTATATACATAGTTATCATCTTTTCCATTTGACTTTTGTAGATGAAGACTTGGTAGCAAATTTAACTCAAGAAGAGACATCAAGACTGGACCTCGGGTTTGAGGAGTGGGATGTAGCTGGCTTGCCTTGGTGGTTTTTGGGAAACTTGAGAAATAACTATACACCTAGAAGTAATGGCTCAACTGATTTACAGACAAATCAGGTAAATTTCACATTTGAAGAGAAACTTTTTTTTGTTTTGATGGAGTGACATTCTTGATTACTCTGAAAACATACATTACCTTGTCTAAGAATTCCCATTCAGTGCTATGACTTTTTAGTACCATCTATATGCCTGTAATGCCCAAATCTGTATCTGTAGCCCTGACATCTCTCCTCAGTACCCAGCTTCCATATCTAACTGCCTACTCAACACTGGATGATCTGACATTCTCCGTGATCAAAACAGAACTCCTGGGACTTCCCTGGTGGTCCATGGCTAAGATTCTGTGCCCTCAAGGCAGGGCGGCCAGGTTTGATCCCTGGTCAAAAAATCAGATCCCATACACTAGAACTAACAGTTTGCATGCTGAAAGTAATGATCCTGTGTGCTGTAATTAAGACCTGGTGCAGCCAAATAAATATTTTTTTAAACCCCAAAAGAGAGCTTTTGATATTTTCCTTAAACATTTTTTATTTAATTGTCTATTTGGCTGCGCTGAGTCTTAGCTGCAGCATGTGGAAGCTTTAGTTGCCGCATGTGGGGTCTAGTTCCCTAACCAACGATGGAACCTGGGCCCCCTGCACTGGGAGTGCTGAGTCCCAGCCTCTGGACCACCAGGGAAGTCCCTCAGTTTGTTTTTTTTTAAACTAATATTCCTATTCAGTGTTTCCTTTTACTTACATCTACCTTCTACTCAGTTATTCTAGCCACATATCCAGAGATTTCTTTTTTTTTTTTTATTCATAGTATCCAGAGATTTCATTGATTTCTTTCTCTGCCATATACAATATTCAGGTTGTCAACTTTTTTTCTAAAGCATACCTGAAATCTAACCACTTTTTATTACTTCCACAGTCTAATTCATCACCATTCTGCTCTTTTATATTCTCCATTGCGCTTCTTACTCTGTATTGTTGTATTTTGTTTATGTATCTATTGTCTGTTTGACCCCGTTGAAGTATAAATCCAGGGCTTTTAATTGACCACTCTTTTCTGTTGCTTTTATTGACCATTGTATTCTGTTGCTTAGTAACTAGTACCTGCTTCGTATCTGACACATAATAGACACTATTTGTTCAGTAAATGAATGGACATATAGAAATAAAATAATAAGTTGTCTCAGGAATATTGTAGAAAAGCATCATAAAGTATACATAGATGAATGTGGAAATAGTTATATTTAAAGTTGTTTAAGAATTAAGAAAGAAGTGTTATATACCAGCTTTATCTCAATAAAACAAAAGAATTCAGAAAGAGGATAGAGGTTTATATTATCATCAGTATCTCTCATATTTCTTTAATAAGCATCATTGACTTACAGGGAAGAACATGTCACAATTAACAGAAAGTTTTCTAGGTCCTCATATTTGCCACCTGTAAAAAGGAATGTAGGAGATGGATTTTATTTAGTTGAGCAACTAAGAGTTTTTAGCTTTTAAGCACTTCATTGCTGTTTCTCTGGTGTTACTATTAAAATAGAAAATTCCTTGCCAAGTACTCTCCTGTCCACCCATTAGTCTATACGTAGTCGCTGCCAAGTAGATATTTGTTGAATGAGTAGATATCTGTAGAGAAGAAAGGCTAGGCATTCTTTTGAGATGTATGAGGACATTGAGTTTTGGGTTCATCTACTTTGATTCAACTGGCAACCCTACTCCAGTATTCTTGCCTGGAAAATCTTGTGGATGGAGGAGCCTGATAGGCTGCAGTCCATGGGGTCGCAAAGAGTCGGACATGACTGAGCGACTTCACTTCACGTCACTTCACAAAAACTCATGTTTATTTTTTTCTGTTAGGATATAGGTACTGCCATTGTTTCAGACACCACAGATGACTTGTGGTTTTTGAATGAATCAGTGTCAGAGCAATTCGGTGTTGGGATAAAAGTTGAAGCTGCTGATCCTGAACAAACAAGTGAAGAAGTAGGGAAAGTGAGAGACAAAAAGGTATGTTGTGGAAAAATTTCACATTGATTGTATTTATGTACATATAGTATAACTTGTTCAGATCGGTTAACCTGACAGTATGCTACTTTGTACAACAAATGACTCATATAATCTCCCCTTTTCATTTTTTAATACTTCATCCAGTTTTAAGATTTATATTAAGTTAACCATGCCTGTCTTAAAAATAGGATAGGACTTTGTGGATCACAGAAGTGAGGTTTTAATTTTTAGAATTTTAAAGTTTAGAAGACACTCCCCACATTTTCTCATGTAATCCTATTTTATTCTTATGAATGCCTTCCTAAATTTTCAAGATAAAACATTTCTGTATTTAATAATTTATACCCTAATACTGTTTGGAGAAGGCAGTGGCACCCCACTCCGTACTCTTGCCTAGAAAACCCCATTGACGGAGAAGCCTGTCCATGGGGTTGCACAGAGTCAGACACGACTGAAGTGACTTAGCAGCAGGAGCAGCAGCAGCAATACTGTCTATTTAAATACATAAATTTGGGAATGCTCTCCCTTCTGAATGCTGAAGAGATAGTTGGTAACCCTTCTTGGTGCTTTTTGATCATTTATTCTACTGAAATGTCAGCTAGGTATGTACAGAATCATGTTTTCGGTCTTACATATAAGCTGTCTCATTTTTAAGTGCTAGTGATGGTGGAGGAATGTGAGTTTTAAACTGAAGCTCTGTACTTTCTGCTCTCAGGTAACAGCCTCATCTAAAATACGCAAACCTGGCTAATGAGATGTTTTTGCTTTCTCAGGTGGTTGACATGGGAAAAAATGATGACCTGGAGGACCCTGAATCCATAAGTGATGATAGCGACACAGAAGTTACCTCTGAGGTGTGAATGGGCTGTTTGACACTGCTCACGTCTTCAGATGCTAATGTCCCCACAGTGCACTTGTGTTGAAGAGTGCCCTTTCTCCCCGTTTCTGTCTACTTTTCCTAGGTGTTAAGAGATGTTGGTTTCTTTATATCTTGTTAGATTTTTATTGGAATTTGAGAAGAGAAGGGGATGAGTTGATCTGATGCTTTCCCTGCCTTGGAAAGGGAATACTCAAATGCCTCTTTGTGTGCCTTTCTTCCTGCTTTCAAACTCTTTGGAAATTATGCAGTGGCTACATAGATTTAAAGTAGTCCTACACTGCTTTTCCTGCTAAACACCTCTCTGTAGTCCCAAAGATAGACCTATAAGCTATCTGAAATTTTTTGTTAAGTATTATATTTTTGATGTTTTCTTAACTAGAAACAAATGGAAAATGGCTTAATGTCCATGGAGGTTTATATTAATGAAGGGTTGATAAATGAATTTTGAGTATTAAGCTGTTAGGTAATAGGTACGGATTTGTCATCAGTTGGCAACTCAGGTTTAGACTCAAGTGAATGTCTTGCTTGTCTCTTTTCATGCTAGCTCCCCATTTGCTCTTTAGTACTTTCTTTGGCTAACTGATTGCGGGAAGAAAGATTGTGGAGTAAGTTTAAGGAGGGGATTTTAACAGTCTGCTGCTTGGGGATATAAAAATCTTTGGTTGTCTCTACTGTTTATCCTGTCCCCCAACTCCCACCCCACCACTGCTGACCATTATGGTAATTCATTGCCAATTATTTGTCTGTGCATGGTTAAATAATAGGGTGGAATATATTGGTCCATTAAGTGTTCTTGACCATAATATGAATAGCAGAGATAAGTGTTTCCATCCTAATCAGATTTTTGAGGCACTTTGGGCCCAGAAAACCTGTTAAGCAAGTGGATTATATTTCATCAATTCAGAGCTGCCTTAGAATTTAATAAATCCTATTATTTTATGTACTACTAAAAAAGAAAAGTGATGCCAATTAGACTATGACACACCATCAATTATGAATTCCAAATCTTTATGAAGTTCCTTGCATATTTGTATTGCATTTCAGATGAGATCTGAGGATCTTAAAACTGGCAAGACTGTTCTGAGGCTCTCTGGAGAAACATCCCAGTTTAACAAATGGTCATATCCCTGCCTCTCAGTGTAGGCAGTTGAGTTGTGACTTCCTTTTTTTTTTTTGAGTTGTGACTCCTAAACTTGAAGTGCTTGACCTTTGTTCTGAAAGTACAGATCAGCATGTATCAAATCATCGATCCTGTCAAAACCAGGCAATTACCCACATTTAAATACACTTGACTTCTTCCAGGTAGCTACCTTTGAATTAAGCAAGGCATTTAAAATTCATTGCGCTCTATTATCTCCTAATTTGAATATGGAGAAGTAGGAAAAAAAATTACCTGGCATTCAAGGACAGGAGCATTCATTTTTCAGAGTGTGATTTAGGCATACAATTGCCTACCTGTTCCTGAGAGCAGTGAGAGAAGGAGTAAATGTAGTAGTTGTCAAATAATCATTTTAATATTAGCTTCCTTTTTGACAAATTTTATAGCATTTTTTAATTAGTAGGAAAGAATGACATCTTGAGTATTACCTTTGCTTCATTCTTTAGTCCCTTGCTCAATAAAAGAGTAAGTTGTACAAAGAACTGCCTTTTTGTAAAAAGAAGGCAGTGGGTAAAAGCGAACAATGCAAATTGCACGCAGACTAAATAGAAAGCTAAAATAGTTTAACTTTCTTAAAGATAACTACATCACATTTGGCTTGAAATGGCAATTATGTCGCTATCATTGTAAAACTTCTCAAGATGTTCTTACATACAGCTGTAGACTTTGTTCAAGTTCTAGGCTAGAACTTGAGTGTCTGGTGTGAAATGCCTGGATTATTACTATCTTAGTGTGAGATGATGAAAATTTGGCTTACTCTCCCTTTTCCTCAGTATCATGTTTTCCACTGAGTGAGTATTAACTGGCTGCATTTGTCTTTGTAGGATGAGTGGCAGTGTACTGAGTGCAAGAAATTTAACTCTCCAAGCAAGAGGTACTGTTTTCGTTGCTGGGCCTTGAGGAAGGATTGGTACACAGATTATTCCAAGTTAACCCATTCTCTCTCCACATCTGATATCACTGCCATACCTGAAAAGCAAGAAAGTGAAGGAATTGATGTCCCTGACTGCAGAAGAACTGTATCAGCTCCAGTTGTTAGACCTAAAGATATATACAATAAGGAAGAAAACTCTCAACATTTTGATCCTTGCAACTCGGTGGAATTCTTGGATTTGGCTCATAGTTCTGAAAGCCAAGAGACCATATCAAGCATGGTAGAACAATCAGATAACCTTTTTGAACAGAGAAAAGATACAGAAAACATGGAGGATTGCCAGAATCTTTTGAAGCCATGTAGTCTGTGTGAGAAAAGACCACGAGACGGAAACATCATTCACGGGAGGACAGGCCATCTTGTCACTTGTTTTCATTGTGCTAGAAGACTAAAGAAGGCTGGGGCTTCTTGTCCTATTTGCAAGAAAGAGATTCAGTTGGTTATTAAGGTTTTTGTAGCATAGCTGAATCAGTGAATTAGACAGATATTAACAGAGCTGGTCATGTGTCCAAATATCAGTATTGAGCATCTCTACGCAGGGTGACTCATTTCATACTTTCATTTATTCTTGTAAACTTTTATGTTCTAAGCCATTTTTACCTCTAAACTTATAGAATTTGAGAATAAGTTCTTTAGAACTACATTATCAGTATGGAGACTATTAACATTAAAAGAGAAGTTAATCATTCTGTCTTCAAAGATTAGGATCTAGGAGGGAGCAGTACAAATAGAAATACATTCATTCTTTCATTTACCAAATTACCTGAAGATGAATCATTTCTTTATTTAATTTAATTTCTTACTGTTCTTTTCTGGTAGGGAATGTTCTTGGGCATCAAAATCCAAAGTGACTGTTAGAAAGATATTAAAGCTGTCAATGAAAAAACAAGTAATTAATGTATAAAGTAGATTATGTTGTGTGATTCAGAGAAACGATTATTTTTGTAAAGTGCCTAGAACAGTGATATCCAACATTTTTGCTAACATACCTCAAAAAACAATTTTGAAAAAGTATGTACAACTTTTTGCACATTTTAAAAATTGAGGTGTAGTTAGCCAACAATAAAGTCAGTAAAGTGTTCCCTTCTGCTGAATTGTAGACATCTCAGTAGCCACCTGAAGCAAGCAGTAGTGCATTTCTATCTCCTTTTCCAGGCAGTTCCTCCATCATTTCATGACTCTTACCCTCAATTAGTTTTCCTTTTGCACATGTTAAATTTGACTTTTAAATTTTTAAAATAAATTTAACTACTTAAAGAGGATGTATCATCCAATATATTGTAGATGTGCTTTAAAGATATTTTTGCCAAAACCTTGGAGCTGTAGATCTGGCTGGTTGAATTTATAGAAAAAGTCCTGTCATGTAAACTGGCAAGGCCTATTCTCATTATAAAACTAATCAGCCAAATCAAACTTCAGTTTCAGTCGAAATGTTTGACTATATATTAATTTATTTTTTGGCCACACTGTACAGCATATGGGATCCCCGACCAGCAATCAAACCCATGCCCCCTGCATCAGGAGCATGGGGTCTTACCATTGAACCACCAGGGAAGGCCCTGTTTGACTTCGTTTTTAATCCAGTTACATGTATTACATACATCTGCGGCATAGCCTTCTCAGTCACAGTTCTAAGATAAGGCACAAAGGTTTTGACCAAAGCTCTCTGTGCTCTGCTCTGCCCTCTTGGTCTCCCGGGAGCCTGCTCAGGGTTTTTGTCTTTTTATTTGCTGCCTTTAGAGGCTTTTTTAATGTTCTGAGGCAGTGCCCCATAAGATTCTAGGTGGGTGAGAAGCAGCCTGCCTTCTGAGAATAGGGAGTATGGCAGTTGTGAAAAGGAAAGTATTTAAAGATAACCCTGAAGAGGTTGTATCTGTGCATGTAAATATTAGGATGATACATATGGAAATTGAAGATCTTTAAGTTGCTTTCCTTATAGATATTCCTGTCTACTTTCCCTATGGAAAAAATTTTGGTGTATGCTCAGCAGTATGAGTATTTTGAAGACTAAGGCCCTAAAATTACTAAATTTAAGGCTCTTAAGAATCACCTGGGTTGCTTGTTATAAGCCCAACTTTACTCCCTGCCCCAAACACACACATATGCATGCATTCACAGGAGCTGGTGCACACACAGGTACAGAGAGTAGAGCAGAATCCCTTTATTTAGCATCGTGTTTAGAGAAGTTCTGCTAAACTTGTAGAAATTAACTAGCACACACTAATATACTCAACCTCTTATTTTGCACATGAGGCTGAAAGGATAAATGACTGCTGAAAGTCACAGCTAGTGATAGAGCTCTTACTGGGATCCAAGTCTCCTACAGTAAATCTTTAAACCATGCTTTCTTCCTTCTCATTATTTGTTAACTGTTTAAACTGTGGTATTTGTTGAATTTGGAATAACTAGTAGCCTTAAAATACTGAAGAATGTGAGCTGCAGCCGAAATAGGACTTCAGAGAGAATAGAGACTTATAACCGTTGCTCCTCAGAGAGAAAAGGCAGTACATGTCCGCTTCTCTTACCTAATCCGATAAATTACTCCTCTCACTAGAAAGACTAGTAGAGGCAGCAGAGGAACCTGAACTCTCTCTCCAGTGCTTTTCCTCCTTGAGGGATGAAACTTAGGTCTCTGGCTGTCTCCAGGCATTAGGGACAAGGGTTTTTTCCCCTCAGTAAATAGAATCAGTCCTTCAAGTTCAGTGTTTTGTTAGACAGGTAAGTGCTCTAAAAATTTAGGAAGTTAGTAACTTTATGCCCCATTCCCTCCCCCCACACTACTCTCTTCATATAGTTTGATAGCTATTGATTTTGTTTTAATTTTGCCAGTTAATTGCTTTTGCAAGTAAAATGAAGAACAGTGAGAGCTAGGATCTGCACTTGTACCCTCTGGTCCCTCTTACATAAAGTTGAGTTTTTGAAGAAAGCTTAATAAGAAAAAGTCTAAAATTTTTATTTTTGTATATAGATATTTGTTGCTAATTTGCTAGCACAGAATCCTCTTATGCTACTCTACTTTTTTTCCCCCTTGGATCACCTGGGTTTTTACTGTCCCCATTAGCAGTAAATACTTTGCTTAGAAGATTTTAAACTGCACATTTGAGCTGAAAATATTTCAATAAATGTACAGTTAGGTGTACTGAACCCTTATCAAGAGTCTTGAATGACTGAAATGTTATGAAGAGCTGTATCTGCAGAAGGAGGTAGTATTTCTTTTGTAGCTTATCTGAAATCCAAGATGCTGCTTCTGCAGTTTGTTTTCCATCATCCAGGATCTTTATTTTATTTATTTTTTTAACTTTTTACTTTGTATCAGAGTGTATCCAGGTAACAATGTTAGGATAGTTTCAAGTGCACAGCAAAGTGACTTAACCATATATATACATGTATCCATAAGAACTGGCCTGCAATGCGGGAGACCCAGGTTTGGTCCCTGGGAAGATCCCCTGGAGAAGGAAATGGCAACCTACACCAGTATGCTTGCTTGGAGAATCCCATGGACAGAGGAGCCTGGTGGGCTATAGTCCCTGGGGTCTCAAAAGAGTCAGACACAACTGAACAACTGACACTTTGACTTCATTCTACCCCAAGCTTCCCTCGCATCCAGGCTGCCATATAACCTTGAACAGAGTTCCTTGTACAATACAGTGGATCCTTTTTGGTTATCCATTTTTAATATAGCAGTGTGTACATGTTGATCTCAAACTCTCTAATTATCCCTTCCCCCTACTTTTCTCCACTGGTAACTTAAGTTCTCTAAGTCTGTGATTTTGCTTCTGATTTGTAATTAAGTTTACTTGTATAATTTCTTTTTTGACTGCATGCAAGGAATATCATGTGATATTTCTGTTTCTCCATCTTCACTCATCTGGGTCCATCCATGGTGCTGCGGATGGCATTTCATTCTTTTTAATGGCTGAGGAGTGTTCCATTGTGTGTATGTACCACATCTTCCTTACCCGTTCCTCTGTTGATGGGCACTTAGGTTGCTTCCATTTTTTGACTGTTGTAAACAGCACTGCAGTGAACACTGGGGTGCATGTCCTTTCTAACCTGTTTTTCTCCACATACATTCCAAGGAGTGGAATCGCAGTGTCATATGGTAGCTCTATTTTAGTTTTTTTAAGGAACCTCCATACTGTTCTCTGTAGTGGCTGTACCATTTTACATTCTCACCAACAGTGTAGGAGGGTTCCCTTCTTTCCACACCATGTCCAATATTTACTGTTTATGGATTTTTTGATAATGGCCATTTTGGCTAATGTGAAGTGATAACCTCATTGTAGGTTTGATTTGCATTTCTCTAATAATTAGCAATGTTGAACACCTTTTCATGTGCCTCTAAGCCATCTATATCTCCTTTTGAGAAATGTCTGTTTAGGTCTTCTGCCCATTTTTGTTTGTCTTTTAGTTAAATTTATTATTTTACGGTAATTGTAGATTCACGTGCAGCTGTAGGAAACAGTACAGAGAGATGCCTTGTAATCTGTAATAATTTCCTCCAATAATAACATCTTGAAAAGCTGTAGTACAGCATCACAACCAGGATATTGATGTTGATACGGTCAGGATAAAAAGCATTTCCATCACTGCTGGAATCCTTCTATAATCCTTTAAAGACCTGTTAGGTTCCTTATAACCTTATCCCCTCTTTAGCCCTAGAAATTACTAATTTGTTTTCCATTTCTGTGATATTGTGACTTCAGAAATACTCATGCATGGAACCAAATGGTATGCAACCTTTTGGGATTGGATTTTTTTTTCCCCCCAGCATAATTGCCTGGAAATACATCTGAGTTGTATATATGAATAATTCTTTTAACTGCTGAGCAGTATTTTAGGGTATAGCTATACTACAGTTTGCTTAATGATTCACTCATCAAATGACATCTAGATTCTTTCTAGTTTTTGCCATTATTAAAAAAGCTGCTCTAAGCATTTGTGTACATATTTTTGAACAAACCGAAGTTTTAATTTCTCTGGGATAAATGCTTAGTAGTACAATTGATAAGAAGGTATGGTAAATGAATTTTAGCTTATAAGAACTGCCAAATGCTTTTTCCTTAATGGCTATGTCATTTCACTTTCTCACGGACAATTTAAGAGTGATCCAGTTCTTTGCATGATCACTAGAATTTGGTGCTTTCACTCTCTATATATAACATTTAATTTTAGTCATTCTGATAGATAGGTGATGATATCCCATTGTGGTTTTAATTGCAATTTTCCTAATAACTGAACCTTTTAACTGAACCTGAGATAAGTGAACCTGAGACAAGTGAACTGGAACCTTATATGCCATACGTACATCCTCTTTGGTAAAGTGTTTATGTCTTTTGCCCATTTTCTAATTGCTTTCTTACTATTGAGTTTTGGGTTCAGTTCAGTTCAGTTCAGTTCAGTTGCTCAGTTGTGACTCTTTGCAGCCCCATGGACTGCAGCATGCCAGGCCTCCCTATCCCA